ATTATTAGCTTTTTCTTCCTTTGTCCTTTTCTGTATCGTCTAAATCTTATGATGTAACGATCACTGTTTCTTAAATGTTCTCTGACTGACATTTTGCTCACCCCATTCACAAAAACCTGATCTAGCAGTTCTTCATTGGACTGAAAACATACTGCTGCAGAAAATTTCCCTCAAGTGCTCTAGGAAGTCTTGCCCCTCATTACCTTTAAATTATTGCTATTCAAATTATATTCAGATAATTGAAGTTGCCCATAATAACGTTGCCATAATTTTTGCACTTCACTAATTTCCTGACCAATTTATTCCTCTACATCCTTTTCACTAGTTGCTGGGTGGCTGATAGACAACACCAAACAACGTAAGTACACAGATAGCAAGAACTGCAGATGCTGGAGTCAGAGATAACACAGTGTGGAGCTGAAGGAATACAGCAGGTCAGGCAGCATCAGAGGAACAGGAGAGTTGACGTTTTCAGTCGGGACCCTTCTTCAGAAGGGTCTCTGATGCTGCCTGGCCTGCTGTGTTCCTCCAGCTCCACACTTTGTTGTAACTGCATATTTTTTCTCTTAGTTTGATCCAAATAGATTCTGTCCTTGACCCCTCTTCTTTCCACAATGTCACAATTCTCTCCATTATCAATACCACCATTCCTCCCCTGTTCTTCCTTTCCTATTTTATCCTGAACACATTGTGACCAGGAATATTGGACACTCAATCATTCTCTTCTATGAGTCAGCTCTCCATTATAGCCATGACATTGCATCTTCACCTAGCAATCTGCACCTGGACTCACCAGTCTTATTTGCCACATTGCATTTCATTAACATTCACGTATATATAAGCCTCTAGGCATGTAAACTGTCACTGATGATTCATTATAGCATGACAAATTTTACTTGGACACAGGTCTCTGAAATATGTTAAATTCTCAGAAACTCCGGTTGGTCAATCTAATTACCCTCAAGCTTGTTAAAATCTCCTTATCTTTGCTGTATCAAATTACAACTCAATGAAAAACAATGTCAAACAGATATGAATCACATTTTGTGCAGTTTCAGCAAACATTAAACAGCACAGTCAGCTATGTTGCACCCTGATGCATTAAATGCTAAAATATTCTGCAAATGAACAACTTTAACTATTTCATTGTTTCCAGCTGTTGTAAAAATCCCACCATCTGAAATGATGTGAGATTAAACCAAATCTTAATAATAGATCACATTTCTCCAATATCTTAAAGTTCTTCCCTTTGGAAGTGTTTTGGCATCAATTTGTGCATATGTAAGATTTGTGGCTTATTCAAGGTGAATCAGAGGTTACAGTGTCATAAAGAGGACTGCAACAGTGCAGATGTAGGAAAGAGTTCACATCTTAAGGGTAACTGGAAAGTGTAACTTCTTAGAGGCAGAGAACCAGTGAATGGCAAGTCATGTTGCTAGGGTAATATACCTACAAGTATACGTAGGCAGTTTTCATTATAAATGGACTAATATGAATTTCTAATGAAAAAGGGTGTGCATGCTAATTTTTAACAAGTGGACAGATTACTAGAATGTTTCCCTGGTAAAACTGAACATTTATTGATTTATTTCATAGCTTTTAGAACACAGAAATGTATGCTCCATCCAATTGTTATAATGAACATTATAAAAACGTAAAACACACCATATTATAATGAAGCCATGGAATGTAACTCTGATTTAGTAAATGTTGGCCGACTCCTTCTGGAGATCAGTTCGGGAACAGTTGACATGCTGTCACTGGTATTCTGATTTTGGAGAATTTCTTTTTTTGTTTGTAATTTGGCATAACCCAAGCAATCAAATCCTTAATTTCTCAAAGCGCTGATTAATTCGCCAAGAGGTAGCAGAAACCTGATGAAGCAAATCACTGAACAGATTGAATCACGTTAAGCAGCAGCAAATGTGTAAAGAAGTTGTCTTGGTGTCAGAACACAACATGGTTTAAGGAAGAGATAGTAAGAACTGCCGATGCTGGAGTCAGAGATAACACAGTGTGGAGCTGGAGGAACACAGCAGGCCAGGCAGCATCAGAGGAACTGGGACCCTTCTTCAGAAATGTCAGCTTTCCTGCTCCTCTGATGCTGCCTGACCTGCTGTGCTCCTCCAGCTCCACACTGTGTTGTCTCTTGGTTTAAGGAAAAACGCAGCTTCAACTATCATCTCAGCTATGATCCAGTTTGGGATAACATTCTATCTTGTTGGGTGTTTGAAACTTGCAGCTTACAAGAACAATATTTAAACATTTATATTTTACAAATGCCTTCTGAAAGAACGGAGCGGTACATCGAATCCAGCCAGGACTAATTCATTTAGCATAGCCACATGATGTTGATGTGGAAAACAGTTACTAATAGGAGTAAATGTTCCTTTGCAGTTGAGATTGAGACACATTACTGGACAGTTATGAGTTGCCTTTTGCTTTGCATCTAACTTATCTTGTATCTGAACACAGAATAGTTGTTGTTGAATCTAGCTGCTGTGGTAAATATAACCACGCTATTTGCATAAGACTATAACATATAGGAGCAGAATTAGGCCATTTGGCCCATTGAGTCTGCTGTGTCATTCTGTCATGGCTGATGTATGTCTCAACCCCATACTCATGCCTTCTCCCCGTAACCCCTGATCTCCTTATTAATCAGTGTATTCTGAACTCAACCTCCAATTTAAGCATAAAATTGACAGTTGTACAACACATTCTCCGTTAAATGCATGCTTAATTAAGCAAGTCATTCAATAGATAGGAAATGTAATGTTAATAGAGAGGTAGGATTTCAACTTATTGCTAATGCATTAAACTGAAACCACCCAAATTTCTTAGCAATCCAAGCACCATGGCCCATGTCTTGAGGAGTAGAATTGAAAAGTAAGAAAGCCATGTTAAACTTGCCTAGAACCTATGTTAGATCATACATTGCAGTATCTTGCCAGACCTGAGAACTTCAGAAAGATATTAGAGACTAGAGCTCTTTTCTGTGTAAAAGGGAAAGCTAAGCAGTGACACGATAGAGGTTTTTATGAAGATGTACAGGTTTGATAGAGTCAACATGAATGAGAGTAATGTCTGGGCAAATCCAAAACTAATGGCCATAAATATAAGGTAGCCATTAACAAACACAATAGAGAAATCAGGAGTAAATTCTTCCACCCCGCATGAAACTCATCACTACAATAAGTAGCACTAATGCATTTAAGGGGGACTTAGATAAGCATAAAGGGGAGACCGAATTAGATTGATATGTTGAAAGGGTTTGATGAAGAGGGATAAGGTGACTTTTGACTGGAGTATTAATCTAGGCAAGGACCATTTGGGTCAAGTGACCTTCTTCTGGCCTGTAGTCTCAAAGCAACTCTTTGCATTGATTTTAACTAGAAATTGTAGAGGACTGAATAAAAGGGAGAGGAGACCTCAACGCAGCACCCAAATCCATTGGAAACCATAGCGGCTGTGTTCCATCGTCAGGGCTTTAGTTAAATGTCTCATGCAAAATTGAAAGTGCTTATGCAGACTGATTAGGTAGCAGATATTTGCATTCTCTTTTATCTGGAATTAATTTTGAGTCATCTACTGCTGCAATCAGTAAAAAAATTAAAGCTGATGCTGCACCTTTTCTGATAGAGGTTGTAGTTGACTGAACTTGTCATCTACATGCTCAAATAATTACACAGAATATGCAAATGCCTTAAATTCATTATAATTCCCTTCAAAGGACAGCTTCAGCCACCCCTACTTAAATTGCAGAAAGACAGTTTCCTTTGAAAAGGGATAAGGTGATGAAATGCTTCTGTAATAGTAAGCTTAAAGTCACTAAACTTTGCAATAATTAATGAATTTGCAAATTCATTATTCGTAACTTTCAAATCTTTCTGATAGAGAGATAAGTGTTGGCCAGGTTACTGAGAGAGCACCCGTTCATCTTCGTAGTACAGTGGGATCTTTTAGACAGAGACAGGCAGACCTTGGTTTAAAGTCTGAACCAAAAGATGATACTTCCGGCAGCATAGCACTCTGTTAACACAACACTGGAGTGTCAGCCTGGATTTGTTTGTTTTCAAATGCAAGGAGTGAGGCCTGAACTTATAAACTTCGGATCTAGATACGAGAATGCCAGCAGCTGAGCCACAGCTTACACCTAATATGAATTCAATGCTGCTTATCCAAAATAAAGAAGAAACAAAAGCTGCATTACATAATTAAGGCAGATGAGATCTTGATGTAAAACGATGTGGCACTTACAACTGGCTACTAATAAAGACTTCATAGACTCTGCCATTTTTGAATCAGTAAAATCAGACAATGAAAAGAGATAAAAACTTGCATTTATATCGTACTTTTTATATCCACTGAATTTCTCAAAGCACTTTTTAGCCAATTAATAACTTTTGAAGTGTTGTCATTGTAGGAAATACAGCAGTCAATTAGGTGTTCAGCAAACTTCCACAAACAATAACGCAATAACAATTAGGCAATCTATTTTAATGGCCATAATACTTGCTGTGCACTTTGTCAGATAAGTGCCATGCAATTTTTATATGCAGCAATGGTTCTCCATTTAACATCTCGTCTAAAAGACAGGAGCTCCAAAGCTGCAGTACACTCTCAGTAGAGCACTGGAGTGTTGGTGATCATTTTTGTGCTCAAGTCCTGGCTGAGACTTAAATTCAGAACTTTGAACTCAAAGGTGATTGTGTAACTAACTAAGTAATAGTTGACATAATGAATTTCAGCTCATGTGAGATGGCGAGACAGAAGACTTTGAATCCAAATTCTAAGATTAAATTGGCTGGGCTAACTAGGAGTATTCCCATCAGGTTACATTTTACTGAGGAAATATCAACACTGAAATTAAAATGGAAGTATTTTCACTGAAGGAACCTTTACATAAGCAAATTTTAATGGTTTTGAAAAAATGATTATAAAATAAAATCTATGACCAGGACACAAAAATTAACATTATTTTCTTTTGTTCACATCAGATTCAGTTGCCTGTGTTGATCCTGAAGAATGTATAAAGGTGTGTGGCACTGAAGTGGGATGTTCTAACATTGCTTTCCCAAAACTTGTGATTGAGCTGATGCCTGATGGTAACTTTATTTACAAGTTTCTTTTTTTATCCTCACAAAGTCAATGATTATAGGTGAACAAGTCTCATACAGGAATATGGTCAAAAAAGAAGCAGTCAGAATAAAAATATGCAGAATGTTCCCATGGAGTTTTATACATTCTTTCCCTTCCAGAATCACTGAAGATTGCAGAAAAAGAATACGCAAGGAAATCGAGAAACTTCACTGATGCTGTTTGATAAAATAAAGAACGTGTATTGCTGAGAAAAGAAAATCAGTTCGAAATGTTCTTACAGTGGCCATCTTCCCTGGAGACTGGTTTATCACTTTAAAGCCAGGAGGTGGTCATAGAATCATAGAACCCCTACAGCATTGAAACAGGCACTTTGGCCCAACAAGTCCACACCGAATCTCAGAGCATCCCACCCAGACCCATCCCCCTGTAACCCACCTAATCTACACCTCCCTGAACACTATGGGCAATTTAGTATAGCCAATCCACCTAACCTGCGCATCTTTGGACTGTGGGAGGAAACCGGAGCACCCAGAGGACATTGGGAGAATGTGCAAACCCCACACAGTTTGACACTTACTCACCCACTGGTCGTACAGCAATACAGTGGGATGGTAGGGGTCACTACATCTGTAATAGTCAAAATGTTTGCCTGGGTGATTGTCCATAGCCACATCATGTGCGATGTGAAACCAATTGATCAGCCGATTTGCTATTACTCAATTTTCTACAAGTGAAATCATAATTAGTTATGCCCACACCCAACAGTAGAAACGTGATAGGCAACACAATAATACAGCAACAAACAGGATGCTACACCCAAAGTAGTCTGGCTGGAATCATTATTATTACTCGTTAGTCCAGTTTCATCAGCTTGTTATGCGCCAAATAATGAAAATACAATCAGTTTCAATAACAGTCATATAAGGAAATTACATAAGGATGAGTTACATGATGTTCCAGAAAGAAGTATGGAAGAGGTAACTCTATTGGATTAGTAATCTTGAAACCTGGAATAATTATACAGAATCATGAGTCCTGTCACTGGGGGTATACATTCAGTACAATTTGCAAATCTGGAATAAAAAGCTAGGATCAGTAGTGATGGCCATGAAATTACTGGATTGCCTCAAAGACCCTTCACTGTTGTCTTCTTACCTGGTCCAGCCTGTATGTGATTCCAGGCCCACGGCAAAGTAATTGACTCTTAAGTGCACTCTGAAACTCCCCTTGCAAACCATTCAGTTGTAGTCAGAAGGTAGCTCACAACCACCTTCTCATGCAGAGCTCAGAGTGGCCTTCACAGTGATGTCCACATCCTGAGAGTGAATAACAAGAACATGATCGCATTGGAGAAATGAAGCCACCATGCAGAGCCTGACCAGTTACACACAGCAAAGAGGTCTGAGGGAATGACAAGATGAATAAGTTTCCCCTAAATTGAACAGCAGATTGCCTTTATATAACCACTTTAATATAGTCAAATTTCCCGAGGTGCTTCACAGGAGTGATTATCAAATGAAACTTGACATTGAGCCACATGAAAGGTTTCAAGGTCAGGTGAGCATGCAGAGAAAGGCAAAGTACTCTGATCTCTGAGGGACAAAGTTCCCATGATCGCAGTAGGGATAATAATGGGGAAATCAAGGACAGAATTGTTATCTTCTTGGTTGCTCAGAGAGAACAATCGCATCCTTTGGAGTACCTGGTACTAAATGGTTGCAGTTTATACAAATTGAAATTTTGTAGGGCTGTGAGGAAAGAGCAGCAATTAATAAGTTTGAGAGAGCTGGGATATGTACGTTAGACTGAATGGTCTCCTACTATGCTGCATGATTCTACAAATAGTAATTAAATTTTCTACTAGCTGATACCAAACACACCACAATAAAAAGATGTTTGTTGAACCAATGGAGTTCAGCATCAGATACAAACTTATAACAGTGCACAATTTGATATTTTCAGAAAGCAATAATGAACTGGTGACAGGTACAACTATTTTAAAAATTTGAACTATTAGATATTGGCATTGTTGAAATTCCCTTCTCACAGAAGAATGAAAGCAATTTGTTTTGATACATTGATGGGACGTGGATGTTTATTGCTTATTAGGAATCAATCATGTTACTGTGGATCTGGAGTCATACATAGGCCAGACTAGGTAAGGATAGCAGTTTTCACATTAGTGAACCAGCTGGGTTTTTATGACAATTGGCAGTGCTTATGGATATTTTCTACATAACCTGTTCTGATCTGTTATTTATACCTCTGGAGCGGGTATGTCTTGAACCCTGGCCTCCTGCTTCAAAGGTAGGGATATGACACTACCTCCTATGCCACAAGGATTTCTATATAGGTAAAGCTAGTTTTACAATTCACTTGTTTCCTGCTCAGTTCTAGAATGAGTTCAGTTATATGGGATAGTTTTTGTAATTTCTGTGTGAAATTGGTCCTTGCTCCATTCAAGAAACAAACTATTTCTTTTATCCACAATTTAACCCATTACATGGGGAGGCGATGGCTTTGTGGTATTATTGCTGAACTATTAATCCAGAAAGTCAGTTAAATGTTCTGGGGACCCAGGTTAAAATCCTGCCATAGCAGATGATGGAATTTAAATTCAATTTTTTAAAAAAAGTCTGGCATTAAGAATCCATTGATGATAATGAAACAGTTGCTGATTGTTGGGGAGAAAAAACCATCTGGCTCACTAATGTCCTTCAGGGAAGGAAATCTGCCATCCTCTTCTGGTCTGGTTTACATGTGACTCCAGACCCGCAGCAATGTGGTTGACTCTTAGCATCCGCCTGAAATGGTCCAGCAAGCCATTCAGTTCAAGGACAGTTAGGGGTGGCCAGCCAGTGACGCCCATGTGTGAATTAAAAACAAAATTGAGCAAAATATTTATTCATCTGTTCTCCTTTATCCCTGTCTTATCAATCATGCCTTTGTTACTCTTCACTTGTTTGTTTCAATGCACACCTGGTCAGTTTTATATCATCCTCCATCCTCCCACAAACGTCCCTCACCCAAAGCTCTGCTACTGACATCCAAGCTCAAACGTTCAGCTCTCACCCCTACGTTCACTGACTGACTTTGACTCCTGGTCTGATTTTGTTTCATTATTTCCCTTGGTTTCAAATCTCTCCATGCTGTTACCCCCTCCCATTCTCTGTAACATCCTGAGGCTGTACAACCCTCTGCAAATATTGCATTCCTTTGCTTCTGGTCTTTTATGTGCTCCCAATTTCCATCACTCCCCCATAGCAGCCATGCCTTCTGCTGCCTGGACTTTAAGCATTGGGATTTCCTCCTGAAACATTTCCCTCTCCCCTTATCTCCTGCTTCAAGACAATTTTAAAAACTTCCTCTTTGAACAAACATTTGCTGACCTGACGTTGTAAACCCTCATGTGGCTCAATGTCAAATTTCATTTGATAATCACTCCTGTGAAGCACCCTGGGAAATTTGACAATATTTAAGTGGTTATATAAAGGTAATCTGCTGCTGATGATGTGCAAACTGTGTCAAATCTGAGCCTGGCATTTTGCATTAACAAGCTCACACTATCAGGAACTTAACTATTGATGCTCTTCAACCTGATTGTAGGTCTACGTGGACTTATGATTGCAGTAATAATGGCTGCTCTCATGTCATCTCTGACATCAATATTCAACAGCAGCAGTACACTGTTTACCATGGACATCTGGAGAAAGATCCGGAAGGATGCCAGTGAATGGGAATTACTGCTGGTTGGAAGGTAGGATTCACTGTGTCAGCCTCAGGAGGTATTTGCACAAAATAAATCCAGGGATTGTAAAGCAGCAATAGTCCGAGAGGACCAGTCTCTCATTAGAGAGAGACAGCTCGTGCCGAGTTTAACCTGATGGGTCACCAGGCCTCAAGTAGGGGGCAAGGTTGACAAAGTAGGACCTTCATGGTAACCTCAGCCAGTGCAGAAATTGAACACACATTGTTGGCATTACTGTGCATTGCAAACCAAATGCCCAAGTTAAGCAACCCTTTCTCAATAGTGCAAGCTAAGTACAAACCATACTGATGTTAGCATAATGCAGTTTTATCGAAGAGAATGTTATGAGATGAGTGATGTCATGATGGAGGGAGGCATAAGTAATACCAGCAGGGACAGTCATAGTCGTGTAGCTCATTGACCATGTTCCACTTGGACAATTTCTCCAGTAGCAGGAATAGGATTGGACAGGTTTCCCAGAACAGGGAGGAAAGCTTTTAAATTTCAAAATGTCCCTAAAGAGCCACTGGCACTTTGCTGGTGGTGGATTGACCCAAAGGCAAGAAGAGAAACCAGGGACCCTGGTGCCGCTCCTGACTTGGGTTCTCAGCCTGCCCTTTGACCCTCAAGCCGATCACAATGGGCTTCCTGGAGCCTCAGTCCTGGCTATTGATGTAATCTCCTGTCCTGTGCCCTGGATTGAATCAGTTCTCCCCCTGACCCAGGTGAATGGTGGTGGCCTTCCAGTTTCACCCCAAGGGAACTAATTTTTTTATGCAAAAGAAGAACCGTGATCAGGTAAGGGAGCTCCCTTCGGCCCCAACGATTGGCTCAGAGTGATTCCCCATGTGTCAGTTTTGATGAAGTTTCCTTGGCCTACATGGTGTCAGCAACTGGTCCCCTGCCATCCTCACCTCTGACTACTGCTCGTGATGGCACTGCCAAGCTGCCAGGTCTCTGATCAGTTCATCTTGCACAGGATGGCAACCCTGCTGGCTACTTGTTTACTTTTAGTCACTGCATTTGGGCCTTCATGGTCATCATATCCTCTGGTGCAACTTAAATCTGGACCTTCGGGTCCACAGGTCGGGACATTACTGTTGTGCCATAAGACCCCTGGTGGCAATCTGTACATGAAAATCAAGCGAGACGGTGCCACTAGCCTGCCATGAGTGTTGCCTACACACAATTACAGCTGCTGGCAGGAATCAGAGCTTCTCGAGAATTATTTCTGCAAGAGTCCACTCTTACATGGGAATGTTGAATGAACAGTGGTGGGGCTTGTGGAATACGCTCTGTGAGGGATTTTATGCTGGAAATTGAATCTCACAGAGTCACAGAACTCATTCCAGCCTAAGTATCTGTTTCTGTGCTGTACATCTCTATGATTCTATGACTCTATCCATCCATTCAATCACAGAGCACTGTTGGAGTGTGAAATACTTTGCAGCAGGTAGCAGATGTAAGGATCATTGCATCTCTTAAGTTATTAAATATTCCAAGCAGAGGAAGGTAAAGGTACCCCGAGAAAGCAGGCAATAAGATCTGTTCTGGAAAACAAAGAGCTGGAGTACATATCTTGACCTTCCTTACATATTCTGACTTGAATCCTTCTGTCATTTTAATTGCCTGCCTTCTGCCTGCAAGAAAACCATTGCTCCATGGCATTGCTTCTTGCACAGACCTTTCTCCATGTCATTCAGTTTGAGAGTGTTGCTGTTGACCAAGTCCAGTCCCACATGGTATTCTATATTGGCCCATCCTTTCACCCACTTCCTCCTCTTTGCTTTGTTATTTCTCTCTATACATAGAGTGACAATTTTCTCTTTCTAGAACCTTTCTTCCCTGTATTATGACCAATTACCTCATGCTTGATAAGTGTTTTTAATTAATGGTAGGGTTATGGGTGTGTCTACCAGCCTTAATTGCCCAAGGAAGTGGCAGTAATTTTCCTTCTTGAATACAGCTGAAAGGCTTGTGAGGCCATTATGGATGGAGGCTAAGAGTCAACCACATTACTCTGGGTCTGGAGTTGCACACAAGATGATTGGTTAAGTGTGACAGATGTCATTCCTTAAAGAACATTGGGGAACCAGATGGATTTTTCATTTAACCAGGCAGTTTCAACTTTGGTCACCGTTGATGTTGGTGCTCAAAGAAGATTGGGCTTAGATTGTAGATATTAATTAGATGGCCTTGCAGTTAATATGTCTACTGCCAGAGTACATTATTAATAAATTGTTCACTTTTGTTTTAAGATGGAAACTTGGTGTCCAAGATTGGTTGGTTGGAAAGCCTGGTTAGGAATAAAGAGCAATTTTGAAGTTCATCGAATGTTTTAATTTCACATGTTATGAATCCTGTGATAGCAAGCCTGATCTGATTTGCCTTGCAAACCCATGTGCAAAAACAGAATAACATGCATTTCTCATCTACCTGTTCTTAGAAATTCTTGTAGATTCTTTCACTCAGGCCAAAATCCTCTTACTATTTCAGCACAATGGCATTATATCAGAGTCTAACTCAGTTGGTCCCTCATCCATCCTTTGATAAAATAAAGATGTTCCCTGGCAATCAGACTATGGTGTGCTCCAGAATTCCTTGGTTCCTCTTGGTGCTTGTTACCTGCCTTTGAGATTGGCCATTGCAGGAGAGACTGAGAACTAGACCCCACCAGTCAGTACCGTACTCTGTGTACTCAGTATCTCAATTGGACAACTGTGTCAAATTGGACTCAAATTGCATTGAGATTCGACTCCAGCTTAAAAAAACTAATGATAATGGAAGGTTGACTCTCATCTATTTGGATACCTCTCACGTATTTCCTGTTCTTTCTGTTTAGGATTGTGACGGTGATACTGGTCGCAGTGAGCTTGGTATGGATCCCAATATTGCAGAGTGCTAACAGCGGGCAACTCTTCAATTATATTCAGTCGGTGACCAGCTATTTAGCTCCTCCTGTAACTGCAGTTTTTGTTCTTGCTGTGTTTTGGAAACGAACTAATGAACCTGTGAGTAATGGGTCTGTGCTTCCAGCTGCCTAGGCCCTAAACTACAGAATTACCTTCCTATGCCACTGTGCCACTCTACATGTCTCTTCACCTTTAAGACATGACATAACAGAGAAACATAGAAGCTGGGTGCAGGAATAGCCATTTGACCCCTCGAGCCTGCTCCACTGTTCAATATGATCATGGCTGATCATTGAGTTTAATGCCTTAATCCTGCCCTCCCTCCATATCCCTTCAGCAATGTCCACCTCCTTTTTGAAAACACAATCTTTTGACCTCAATCATTTTCTGTGGTAGCAAATTGCATAAGCTCACAACTCTCTGGGCGAAGAAATTTCTCCTCATCTCAGTCCTACAATGTTTACCTATTATACTTAAACTATGACCCATGGTTCTGGACTCCCCTACCATCAGGAATACCCTTCCTGCATCTAACCTGTCTCTTCCTGTTAGAATTTTATAGGTTTCTATGGATTCCCCCTCATTCTTTTAAACTCCAATGAATACAATCCTGACTGATTCAATCTCTCCTCATACATCAGCCCTGCCATCCCAGAAATCAATTTGGTAAACTTTTGTTGCACTCCCTCTATAGCAAGAACATCCTTCCTCAGATAAGGAGACCAAAACTGTACACAATATTCCAGGTGTGGCCTCACGAATGCCTTGTATAGTTGAAGCAAGACATCCTTGTTCCTGTACTCAAATCCTCCTGTTATGAAGGCCAACATACAGTTTGCTGCCTTTACTGCCAGCCACACCTGTGTGCCTACTTTCAGCAACTGGTGCATGAGGACACCCAAATCTTGCTGAACATTCCCCTCTCTCAACTTACAGCCATTCAAACCTGGCTTCCTATTTTTGCTACCTTCCATTTATTCATATTATATTGCATCAGTCATGCATTTGCCCACTTACTCGGTCTGTCCAAATCACAGGGCAGCATCTCTGCATCCTCCTCATAGCTCATCCTTCCTCCCAGCATTGTGTCATTTGCAAATTTTGAGCTATGACATTTGGTTCCCTCATCTAAATCATTTACATACATTCTGAATAGCTGGGGATGTAGTACCAATCCTTGCTGTACTAGTCACTGCCGGCCATTCCGAAACTTAAAAACTACCTCTTTGACCAAAGGCCACCTGGTCTAATGTCACCTTATATAAAACTGGAAAAGGATAGAATCAATCACTAGGTCTCACAACATTTGTGGAGAAAGAAACTCAGTTAGCTTTTCAGAATAATAAGCTTTTTCAGAATTCCATAATAATTTGCCTTTCTAGCTCCTTATGTGGCTTCTTGTCAAACTTTGCTCTTGGGAATTTATTCCATTAAACGTGTTATATAAATGCAATTTCTTGAAAGAAGTTCCAAATCAAAATGTTCAGATATAGCCTATGATCTCTTCATTCTGCAAGTGAAAATATTTCGCAGAAAATCTTTAGTTCCCTTTTCATTATTATTCATCATTTCCAAATTCATTGAATTATACAGCACAGGAAGGGGCTAATCAACATTGTGAATCGTCAGGCCTGGATTATCTCTGAGTCAGAAAGTTGTTCACACTCCATCCCAGATACTTGAACAAAATATCCAGACTGACACTCTAGCACAACTCTTTGGTGGTGCCATTTTACAGATGAGGTATTACACAAAGGCCTTGTTTATCTTCTCTGGTGGATGTAACAGATTCTATGACATTATATTTGAAGAAAACTGGGCCATTTTTCCTAATGTTGTAGACAGTATTTATCCCTGAAACAAAATTAATTTGAAAAAAAGATGATCTGGTCATTATCTTTTCTCTCCCTCAGTATTGCACTGAAGCATTTGCGGTATGTGTTTAAAATCTCTGGAATAAGCCTCAAATCCCCTCCCTTTTGACACTAAAACAAAAGTGATACTTCTGAGCCACACAGCCAGCTGACTTTGTAGCTGGTGGATCTGACCATTGTTCTGATGCAGTATCGGGATGGAAACCAGAGTAGTGACCAGCGTGAACCCAAGTTATAAACAAAAACAGAAATTGCTGGAAAAGCTCAGGAGGTCTGGTAGTATCTGTGGCAAGAAATCAGGATGCGGAGGTGCCAGTATTCGACTGGGTGGACAAGGTCAGAGGTCACAAAATGTAATTCTGCATTATTGTGTAACTCAAAGGCTGCCTTAGGAGACACTTACCTGAAGATGGGAAGCTGAATGTCCTTAACCGCTGAAGTGTTCCCTGACTGGGAGGGAACATTTGTGTCTGACAATTGTTGCATGGTGTCCATTCATCCGAGGAATCACTGAAATGCCTGCAAAATGATATCAACAAATTTCATCCCACCATCAAATGTACCATGGACTACTCTTCAGAATCAGTCTCATTCTTGGACACACACATCCTCCATCAAGGATAGACCCCTCAGTACCTTACTCCACCGCAAGCCCACGGATAACCTCACAATGCTGCACTTCTCCAGCTTCCACCCTAAACATGTTAAAGAAGCCATTCCCTACGGAAAAGCCCTGCATGTACACAGGATCCGCTCAGATGAGGAGGAACGCGACGATCATCTAAAGATGCTGAAAGACACCCTCATAACAATGGGATACAATGCTCAACTCATTGGTCGCCAGGTCTGACGTGCCACAGCAATAAACCACAATGACCTCCTCAGAAAACAGACACAGGACACAACCAATAGAGTACCCTTCGTTGTCCAGTGCTTCCCTGGAGTGGAGAAACTGTGCCATTTTCTTCGCAGCCTTCAATATGTCGTTGATGACAATGAACATCACACAAAGATCATTCCTATGCCTCTAGTTCATGACTTCAAATATGCCTTTGCAGTAAACTACCCGGCCTTCAGGATAACAATGACCACAACACCACACAACACTGCCACAGTGACCTCTGCAAGACATGTCAGATCATTGACATGGATACTAACATCACACGTGGGAACACCACCCACCACAGGCAGGTATTCATGTGACTCGGGCAATGTTGTCTACCTCATACGCTGAAGGCAATTATGCCCTGGGGCATGGTACATTGGCGAGACCATGCAGGTGCTATGACAACGGATGAATGGGCACCACGCAACAATTGCCAGACAGGAATGTTCCCACCCAGTCGGGGAACACTTCAGCGGTCAAGGACATTCAGCCTCTGATCTTCGGGCAAGTGTCCTCCAAAGCAGAATCCAAGATACGCAACAACACAGAATCGCTGAGCAGAAACTGATAGCCAAGTTCCGTGCCCATGAGGACGGCCTCAACTGTGATCTTGGGTTCACTCGTGCTACATGTGACCCCGCCATACTGTTCTGTATTTGTAAAATCTTCCTTACTATCCTGTTTGGACACCATCACCTTGATAACCTGTTATGATCTCTCTGAAGATGGGAAGCTGAATGTCCTTAACCGCTTAGTTTGTACAGCTTTGGATTACTTGTTACTTTGGTTAGACCCTTGGCATGTGACTCTTATACCTATCATGTTATTGAAGGGTCTAGGCCCGAAACGTCACCTTTCTGCTCCTATGATGCTGCTTGGCCTGCTGTGTTCATCCAGCCCTGCACCTAGTTGTCTCATGTTATTCCAGCCATTTGGTTTGTCTCCAGCATCATCTAATTTTGAACTTTTTGTATTTATCTCTCTGCCTCAAGTAATCAGATCATAAGACATCCCTTCACTTGCTATTCAGCTGTTGATGCTTTACCCACATTGTCTGACACTTTTGATCACCTTGCTATTCAGCCTGTCGACACTGCATTCACACCATTTGTACGATCTTTTGATCTTTCTGTGCCTATGCGAATCCCTTCACTTCACCTGATGAAGGAGCAGTGCACGGAAAGCTTGTGATTTCAAGTAAACCTGTTGGACTATATCCTGGTGTTGGACGAGAAATCAGAGTTAATGTTTCGGGTCGAGTGACCCTTCCTCAGAACTTCTGAGCTTTTCCAGCAATTTCTGTTTTCGTTTCTGACTTACAGCACCTTCAGTTCTTCCGGTTTTTAACCCAAATTATGACTGCCCTGTTTTTGGTTTGAGTGACAATGAGACCCAGTAAATATTTGCTGCTTGTTTCCAGGGTGCATTCTGGGGCCTAATGGTTGGACTAGCAATTGGCCTGGTGCGAATGGTCATGGAATTTGTGTATCCCTCGCCACAGTGTGGAGTGTATGATCTAAGGCCATCTCTGTTGAAGAAGGTTCACTACCTCCACTTTGCAGTTATTCTGTGCACCCTTACAGCTCTAATCGTCGTGGTGATCAGCCTGCTGACAAAGCCTCCTCATGAAAGCCAGGTATGGTACAGCTTCTGCTTTTGGCACGGTTAATACCATTGCAACTCCCCCCCTCAGAGCATGCTGAGGTTTTGTTTCCCATGTGATCAGTTCAGAATGGATGGTTGCTACCTGGCATTAATCCCACCTTCTTCAGCTGAATGAAACCAATGGTAGTTTTTTATTTAACTGATTATAGGACTGCTGTTATAGAAATTCCAGTGATATTTTTAAGAAAATGAGAATTGAACACTATCTATAGCTGATACATGACCCATAACGCCAATCTCAATATCCACTGCCTTTATCAACTACTCTTTAGGCTATCAACATGTTGATATTGGCTTATTTAGGATGTTGTCAAACACTGTATTGGCGTTCTCTTAACTCACACCAAATCCCAATCCACTATGTTCCCTAGGCTTCCTGACCTACATTTGACTCCTGGTCAAGCAATGTCTTGCTTTTCAAATTCAAATTCTTATTTTCAAGTCCCTTCATGGCCTTGCCCCCTCCCCATCTTTAATTAACACCGTACCGCAAAACCCATTACATGTGATGTAAATGAGATATAGGTACCAAAGCTCACATTCCACGATCTCCTTTAGGAAGTCACAAATGTACTACTCACCATGACCCCAGCAAGTCTTGGTTAGAAATTCCTAGGAACTCAGGTATATTGTGTCTGCTATAGTTTTAGTTATGTCAGAAAAACATGGATACTATGCTCAGTATGTTCTGCATATAAGCTGTTGCCATGTAAGATATTTTCATGTTACAGTGACCTGATGCCATTTATGTGTAGGTACTTGATTGCTGGACACTCTGGACATTCCACATCTCAATGTCTATTTATTATTTGTAGCACTGGACAGCAGTGAATTGAATCCTAGGGACTCCAGGCTAACTCCAGAGAGTTGGTAACACATTTGAAGATATTTATACTGATTCATACCACGTTTCACACATTCAACATTGTATGGTTTTAATCTTTGCAGCAAAGCACTGTAGAACATTGTAGACCCTTGCATTGTGTCAGCTGCATCAAATTCTGTTTTTGGTAAATGCTTTTGAAAGTACAGGTGCAGCAGATAGACTATCCTTTAAAACGCATGCCAGCATATTAAAGTCTGATTTTGCAGTGTTTCCAATGGTTACTCAGGATCAAGCCTAGAATACAGGAGCCCTTTGCACTAAATGCATATAAGAAGAGATCTACAGTCTATCAGTTGAAAGCCCATAGGGAATAATTTGGTCTGACTAATAATGAACATATTAGAAAATTACTTTTAAAAATTGACCTTTTCATGGAACGTTTTCATTCGTATGTTATAAAAAATATTGGCGAGGATGTTTGATTGGACAGAAAGTGGGAGGAAGCGGGAAATTATTCCAGGAGTAAGACCAAAAGAGATGGCATTCCATCGTCCAGCCTGGCCTGTAATGGCTATGGAGTTAAAATGGGGGGATTCAGGCCTATGAGACAAAGAGTAGAGATTGGGTTGATTCACTGGGGAACTGAATTTGAAGTATTTATATTAGAAGAATGAACAGTAAGATTGGTCATACCTATTGTTTGATCTGGACAAAAAAGAGAATCAAGCTTGCTTCATAACATTCCAAATGAATTCAACAGCAACAAATTACATTGCCTTTTAAGAATGTGCACTTAGGGATCAAAAGGCTAGTGTGGTTGGTGCATGTTGTAATATTTGGATTTGTTTTTAACTAGAACCAACCCTTAAATTGAGGACACCTGTCCAAACTGAGATTGTGATCCACCCATGCTAACACATGGAAGTATGTCAGGCATATAAAACATGTAAAGTAGCAAGAAAATAGACATTACAAATGATAGCCTTTTGTCCACTGGGTATGTTTTAAAATAAGAAACTTAAGAGCGTGTTTCTTGTACTTGCTCTGCCAATTAAAGTATTTTTTTAACCTATTATTGACCAGAGATCAATATTACGGGAGTTGGACCAAATTATTCTAATAATGTTTGATTATTTATAGTGAAAATGAAATCTTTAATTTTTGTTAATAACTCAGTCAGTTTGAAGATAGCCATTAACTAAATTACAATTAAAAGCCACCATTATTAAATATTTACACTTCCCCCTCAGTTGAAAAATGTAACATGGTGGACAATTTCACAAGAGAGAAAGCAGCCTGACATTATCCTTCAAAAGGTATCTCCAGAACGGCATGCCTGGGACAACAGAATTGAAGGTAGGATTATTTCAGCCTATTTGTATTATGCAGGTCTAAGGGGACACCACTTGATCTTGAAGATATGTAATGATAACTAGCCCCTTCTCGCCACGCTCCCCACTCAATTGGGTAGTGAGTAGTCACAGCTGAGCCATAGGACTGGAGGAAGGTTTGTAATGGAGTTCCCCAGGGATCAGTGCTCTGAACCATGTCTGTCCTGATATATGCTGATGACCTAGACCTGGTGTCCAAGGCACCATTCCAATATTTGTAGATGACGTGAAAATTGGAAGTACTGTGAATCGTGAAGAGGATACTGCAGAACTTCAAAACAACACTGGTTGGTGGTGGGGGTGGGGACTGGCAAAAGAAATTTAATCTAAAGGAGTGTTAAGTAATTCATTTTGGCAGGAAGAATGCAGAGACAATGTATACAATTCTAAAAGGGTGCAGGAGAATACATTGAAGGAGGCAGGAAAAGTTGAAAGTTTTAAAACAAAAGGATCCTAGGCTTTATCCATTGGGCCAGAAAGTGCAAAAACAAAGAGGTTATGTAAACCTGTGCTCAATGTTGGTTTGGCCTCAATGGGTCATTGGCTGCAGTGATGGTGGTGCCTAGAGTGGAGACTCTTGGTGGGGGCAGTGGGTCTTTGGCTGCGGCGGAGGCAGTGCCTGGAGTAGGGACTCCTGACAACAGTAGGCCTAAAGCGTACACTTTTGGCAGAATTGCCATTGCTGTACCCAAATGGGGACTCCTTCTGGCCTGGGACATCTTGCAGAGATCCTGCAGAAGCCCTGGAGCTGTGTTTGAAGGCCCCTTGTACTGAGGATGAATTCTATTTATGTAATTTCTTTTCGTTCAAAATCCTGAGTGGTCTGGACAGATAGGGAGAAACTTTCTATTGGTAGGAAGATTAAGAGCCAGATGACACAGATTTAAAGTAATTGGCAAAAGAGGCTAACAATATAAAGGGCAGAATTTTCCCAGCCATTGAGTGGAGTTGACAATGGTAAGAAATTTGAGAAAATACAGTGACCATGGAAAAGATCTGATTCTCGACAAAAAGAGTGCAGGTTTCCCCTTAAAGTTTTAATGACAAGTTCCAAATCTTGCTAGTAAGCCATGAGCACCTTATTTTCATGTATTTGCATCTCATCGTCATCTCATGTCAAATCTCTATGCAGTTTTTCCATGCACTGGTGAGAAACTAGACACGTCAAGTGCCACCTTGAATATCAGAGTGGTTACCTGGTGGATGGAGCTCACTGCTTGCTTCTCCAGGCCTTCATCTTAATGTCTATTCATCAGCATCTCAGTGCATGTTCCACGGGCAGTAATCGCCTGCTTGCATCGTCAGCAGAAATCAGCACCAGCAAAGCATCAGCCTCACCACATCATTATGGCCAATTCGGACTAACTCGTAATACAGTGCAGCTCTTCACTAACTGCACTTTAGAACTTATGGACACCATGTATTGCAATGTTCCTAGTGGGTCACTCTGTGCATAGAGATGCAACCCCATCTTGTACGTCTGCACAGCGTGCATTTTGTGGCTTTTTAAAAATTCATTTATGGGATGTGGGCGTCGCTGGCTGGCCAGCATTTCTTGCCCATCCCTAGTCACCCTTCAAAAGGTGGTCGTGAGCTGCCTTCTTGAACCGCTGCAGTCCTCCTGCTGTGGGTTGACCCACAATGCCATTAGGGAGGGAGTTCCAGGATTTTGACCCAGCAACAGTGACGGAACGGTGATACATTTCCAAGTCAGGATAGTGAGTGACTTGGAGGGGAACTTGGAGGCGGGCATGTTCCCATATGTCTGCTGCCCTTGTCCTTATAAATGGAAGTGGTCATGGGTTTGGAAGGTGCCGTCTGAGGATGTTTGGTGAATTTCTGCAGTGCATCTTGTAGATAGTACACACTGCTGCTACTGAGCGTCGCTGGTGGAGGGAGTGAATGCTTGTGGCTCTTAGCTTGTGTTCTTAGCATTGACACACTTTGCACCTACTTGTACAAACACAGCATCTCTGCCTTGCCCTGCTTTTAGCACTGGCAGAAAGGCAAGCTGCTTGTCATGGTTGCCAGCCATGAACAGTCAAGAAGGTGGATATATTGTTGTATGGCACCATGATACATTAATGCTACCCCTACAAAATCTTCCAGCAGCTTGTGTGGCAAACACAATGCATGTGCTTCAACCAAATGGCCAAGTCTGAAAGACTTGTCCTTACTGGAGTGGAAAGGGCCTATGGTCAGTCAGAGAGAGACGCAATACCTAGTCATCAGCATCATCTAATCTCAGTCCAAGTGACTGACCATGATCAGTTAGTTTCTTGGTGAGATGAGGTGCCAGGGACCCTTTACTTTGCAGTCTAAGGATTAGGCAACAGTCAGTCCTGCAGGTCAAGTTCAACCTGTCCGAGGATCATTGGTACGCCCATTAGAAACAACAGTTTGCTGAGCCATCATCAATCATGGCTGTCCTCACATATCAGTCCAAAGGGGTGGTGGCTGATGGTGAGTACATGTATGAGGGCAGTAGATGTCAGGGGGCAGTCCATGCAGTTCAGAGGAAAGTAGGCAGTTCAATTGTCAGACTGGAATATTGTGCTCTGATGCTGAGGCAGTAAGAACACAGAAGAGGGGCTACTCCAAATATAAGGGTGGGATCTGACATAGCATAGGAGGGCACAGAATATTGCAGGAGGGAGGGATTTTGTAAATCAACCTCACTCTTGTATCAATGGGCAGACAAAGGATAGCAGTAAGCCACGAGCTGAGGGGGAAAATTGTGGATATTAACAATTAAGTAATTAAGGAGGAGGGTGCGGGTAATCTTGACTATCTGACAAAGCCTAGAATCCACTCACAGGAAATTGAGGTAGGTCATGTACCATCTTTGACTAACTGCACAATAAGGAAGGAAAATGGCTGCCAACTCATTCACAGTGGGCAGAATACATTTTGTTTGTTTTTATTGAGTAGGGGCAGGGTGCACATGTTTGCACAATAAGGTTGAGTTTGGATTGTAGTTGCACGTTGGTCATCACCCATGCTTGAATGAGTGTATGTTCCCTTATTAAGTCCATAGACAGAATCAATCTTTGCCACCAGAGGAGTGCGCACTCTAAATGATCATAGAGCCATACACAAGTTAAGTGTGGAACATGAAGATTCTGTCACAAGACCTCCACATGATTTTTGGCCTCAATGATCTCAGAGTGCAAACTCACACACGTAAGTGTTCAAGGATGCTTAAAATACGTTGCTTTCCAGGATATTTCTCAGATATATCCTTTATACTCCTTGGGATGTACAAAGAGCCTATTATTCTGACATAGTAATAATGTAAACAACTGAAATGCAACTAAAATGATAATCGATAAGACACGTGATGAGCAAAAGTTCACACACTTATGTGAAAGTATATTGTCACTTGTGTCACTCATGTGCTCTCCCACTGTATTGTAGCCCTGCTCTGTGGAACTGCTTTATCATTGACCCTGCTGTCCGTGGGGATGTAGGTGGATGTGCCCGGAGGCTGTTTGTGGTTAGAGTGCCCAACGACAAGCTCACCTCCTGAGCTCCAGTTTTGACTGGGTTGGAAATCATGAGTGTGTGTGTGTGTGTATGTGTCTCGGTGCCTGCTGACACCATCCTACCTCCTTGTGAGGGAGGGCACTTGGACTGAGGTCAAGGTCCCTCAACCCCTCTTGCCTTGCTGCTGATGCTGAGCACCAGTGACTAAAACAATGGAGTGGAGGTTTGCATGTATTTCTGGCAGCCACTGAGCATTCTGCTCAGTTCTGAGGAAGGGTCACTAGACCCAAAACATTAACTCTGATTTCTCTTTGCAGATGCTACAAGACCTGCTGAGCTTTTCCAGCAACATTTGTTTATGTTTGCGAGTGTTCTGCTGGATCTGGCTCTCTGTGGCATCTGCAAACCTGTTTGTGGGGACAGCCAGATACATGCAAGCTGGAGCCAGCACAATATAATTAACATTGGTGCACCCCTTGCTAAACTTCGATCTATGTAACTGGATGGAAGGACGGTTAGTGTTGGTGCAGGAGCAGCAGGGGCAATAAGGTGTTACACATGAGTGAGTACGTAGAGCAGAAGGCAAGAATGGTTAGTAGTTTAGGAAGATGAGGTGAGTATGCAGCATTGAGTGCAGCCGCTGCTTGCTATGGTGAGAGTTGTAGTCCATTAAATGTGTAGATGTTACTGTGCAGTACCAGAGTAAGTGAGTGTGAGGAAGTAGAGAAGATGGTGGCGCTTACCTTTGTAAAGTGCAGATGATCAAAAAGCTTCTTCCCACACTGCTGGGCATTCTTCGTGATCCATGAAACAGCACTGTCCCATGTTTCTAACTGTGTCTGGTGAAATGATCTCCTTTGATGGTCTGTAAGAAAGAAGGTGACCCTCCTCTCCACCACCAATCCACATTATCATACTCAATGAATCTATGGCAAGACCAGAAAACTCCCATGTCCGATTCTTAGTCGGTGTTGTTTTAGTGTCTGGGAGCAGAGAGGTTGTGTCAACTAATCAAGATTTTCACTCCAGATTACTGCTCAATGATTTCTATTGGAAACACAAGGTGAGGTGTCAAAGGCAATCATTGTTCCTTCACTGTCACTGGGTCAAAATCCTGGAAGTTCCTCCCTAACAGCACTGGAGGTGTACATACACCATATGGACTTCAGCAGTTCAAGGATCAGCTCACTACCACCTACTCAATGGCATTTAGGAATGGGCAATAAAAGCTGGCCTCATCAGTGAATCCCACATCTCATAAGTGAAAACAATGTTTCAGATGTAATACACTTGGGGTTGAATGACTCACTGACACAAATGAAATGATTTATGTGAATATTGGTCCCACCAGTGAATGATTGATGTCATTGCTGCCTGTGGCTGAGAAGGAAAATTAAAAATGCAAGGTTTACCCCTCTCTGCATCACTGTTAGATTTGTTTCAGACTCCTATGCTGCTGTAATATTGTACTGTACCATTGTCTCTAAGATACCCCAATTTTAAGGATTCTAGGCGCTGTGTATATATAAGGCTGTGACTCTGTATACCAGATAGTCTGGCTGGAATGTGCAGGTAGCACACTTGATTATTCGAGCGCTATCATTTTCACGACACCTTACTACATCTCTCCACCTCTCTATTCCTCTATCTTCCTTTCAGACACACCTTAAAACCTATTGTTTTTCATAGATAGTAGGAACTGCC